ACAACTCTTCTTTTCTCCCTGTCAAATATTCAGTGGGACCACAAGTATAGAGGTCACTGTGAACTCCCAGAACCTGATTCTTAACTGCTACTCTAGATTACACATAGTAGGCACTCATTAAAGGTTCACTGATGTTTAAAAGATACTTGTTAAACCGGATCCTCTGAGCTGCTTCCTCAAAAATATTTTTCTATTATAATGTCAAAGAGAAAAGACAATATGAACCTGAAAGAGAAAAAAGGCCTGTTTTTCAGTGCATTCTCATTTAAGGAAAGACCCTAACCTGAATTCAAATACATTAATGAGAAATCTGTGAGGACAGCTGTCAACGTTGTAAATTCAGCCCTCTGTTATATAGCTATTGCTTATTCAGGAATCACACAGGGTTGCCAATGATAGCCGTTGACTGAAATAAATATTTGATTTTGTTGTCTCATTCTACCTCATTTATTAAACAAGTGATTTTATATAACTATTCTAGAAAGTAAAGATTCTCAAGTCCGCACCAGATATATTTCTGACAAACTCATGTTGTTGAGTTAATGATAATTTTGGGGTACCTGACTTTTTTTTCTTTCTTTCCTTATTTTTTAACTTTGCATAAATTTGTTCAAAATGTCTGGATTTGGTGGCCAATTATAGAACACTTTTCACAGCAAACCCAGTGAAACAATGTCATTTTTAGCCTTCAACTCACAGCTATGGCCTCAAATGATTAGACATGTGATTCTGAACTTGATTTATGGAAGATGGAGCCCAATTCTCTGACCCCAGGCCTGAATGCTGGGATGGCAGAAACCCATGCTGGAGAAAAATTTAGTTTTCCAAGTAAATGAGGGTGATTAATGGAGAGACTCTTCTCAAATCCAGCTCCTGAGAGTGAGTGAACTGTTGTGCTCTCTGAAATTGAGAATAGGATACTGGGGCTGATTATCCCTAACACCAAATGATTATTGACAACAATTTTGAATGTCACTATAATAATAGGTAAGGCAAAAACAATTAAAAATACAGATTTAATTTAAAAAAACTCTATACATTGAGAGTAGAGACTAGTTTATATAACTTAGGCCAGTAATTAATGAAAACAAAATCAGTTGAAAGTAATTTAAGTAAAAAGAAAATTAATATAAGTGGGAGGTGGTTTTTTTGTTGTTGTTCCAGAAAGAAAAAAGTCAACTTTTTGTCAACTGAGGGAAAACAATCTACTAAGATCAAAAAAATAAAATTAGCAAATTAAATAAATGATAAAATAGATTTAAGCCAGTAGATTATATCTTAAATACATCTTGATTTTACATTATGATCATTTGGGTTGTGGGGTGTGTGTGAAAATGGGCAGTAGAATGTGAAGCCAACATGCTTGAAGAAGACAGATATGCAGCACACACAAATACCCAGAGAATAAAGGAATCAGATGTGATGAGGCCGACCAAGTCATTGTGAAAGACAAAAATATGAAGACACACTGAGGAAAAACAGGGAAAGACAGACAGACACAGGAGGAGCAAGATAGGCATGTACATACACATGTAAATACAGAGGACAGAGGAAAGGAATAGTTAGAAAGACAAACATTTTCTTTTTTATTTTTTAAATTTTACTTTAAGTTCCGGGATACAAGTGCAGAACATGCAGGTTATAGGTATACGTGTGCCATAGTGGTTTGCTGCACCTATGAACTCGACATCTAGGTTTTAAGACCCGAATGCATTAGCTATTCGCCCTAATGCTCTCACTCCCCTCGCCCCCCCATCCCCTTTCCAGCCCCGGTGTGTGTTGTTCCCCTCTGTGTCCATATGTTCTCATTGTTCAACTCCCACTTACGAGTGAGAAGATGCGGTAGAAAGACAAACAATTTTCATTAGCTCAACAAATATTTATTGAGGCAAAAACAGGCCCACAGAGATGGAGTTGGCAGACAGCTTTGCAGTTCTTTGAATCTGGCCAAAGAGAATCTAGCTGTTGATCATAACTGCACAAAATTGTTTTTGAGGGCCTACTAAGTGCAAAAGCACTGTGCTAAACACTAAAGAAGACAAAAGTAGAAATACAATAGACTCCATACCCTCTAAGGACATATTAAAAAGTTGTGTTGGGCCTATGAGTGAACTATCTGCTACTTTATCATTCTTTAAAATGATGAACTTGCTGGGAATTTAAAATAGACCTTTCTGCAGTGGCAAGCAGGATTTATGCTTTGATTTTTCATTTTAGATTATGAAAACTGTACAAAGAGACTCAGAGATAGAGAACTTTCCTTTTCATCTTTAAAAGTCACAGGCATAAATAATAGCCAAGAGAGGAAATCTCTTTGTTACACAAAGTTGCTTGGTGGCCTGATCTTTGTTCTTGGCAAAATTAGTCTTGTTTCATTACCTAGTATCTGGGAGATATCTGAAACCATCTTGTACTTTTTCCTTTTAAAATTTAATGCTATTTTTGGCTCAGTTGGCTTTTAGTTGGAACAATCAAAATTATAACATCGCCCACTCTCCAAAAAACAACCATGGAAAAACACTTTACGAATAAATAAACAACTCCCAGTTAAGTCTACAACTAGAGCATTACTGCCTATTAGAAATATAATATGAGCCATGAGCCACGAGCCATATTTTAAATTTCTTAGAGCTACATATTTAAAAGTTTTTAAAAGGTAAAATTAATTTTCATAATATATTTTCTTTAATCCAATGTATGCAAAATATCTCAACATGTAATCAATAAAAATGTATTAATGAGATATTTTACATTCTTTTTTCATACTAAGGTTTTGAAATCAGGTGTGCCTTTTATACTTATAGTACATCTCCTTTTGGACTAGCCACATTTCAAGTGCTCAATAGCCAAATGTGGTTACTGGCCACTGTACTGGACAACAATGATTTGGAGTATTACTTCTAAGTGGATTGAATATCCTTTCCCTTCCTATTGTTAGCTCTACCAGAGACTCAACCAGATAAAAATAAAATCTAAAAGCCAACTTTTGTTTTCTAAGTCCCTTTAGTACATAATACTGTCTTTTTGCAATCTGTCTGGTGGTATTTACCCTTTAGGCATGAAGAAGGAGAGTTGTTGAGGTTTGTATATGAACTTGGGAAGGTATAGCTTTCTTACTTAGGTAAAACAACCAGTCCACCAGAAGTAGACAGGGAAAATTCCTGGTGGTAGAAAATGGCTCTAGAAGCTGGCCCCGCTCTGCACTTGGTTGAATTGAGTAAGCTTGCCTCAAGGTTCTTCTGGTACCCTGTATCCCTCTGTCGAGCACTTATCAGTGTAGACTGTAAGTTCCTTGAGGGCCCACACCATCATTACCCATCTCTGTCTCTCTAGCACCTAGCATAGTGCCTGGAACATAGTGCTCAAGAAATATCTGCTAAACAAATAAATGAATTCACATAAATTCAGTTTCTTGTGTGCACTAGCCACATTCCAAGTGCCCCATAGCCACACACAGCCAGTGGCTACCATATTAGACAGCACAGATATAGAACATCTCTATCATCACAGTAAGTTCTATTGTTTATCACTGTTTTAGAATGAGTAGAAATATTAATTTGACCCATTCGGTGACAGGGAGCTTCTAGAGACCACAAAACTCTTCTTTTTTGTGAGCAAATGAGAATACATTTTAGCTCCCTGGAAAGTTCAAATACAATGTCATTATAGTTTTGACTGGAAGAATAAACTTGGCCATGCATTTCTTCCTGAGTTTGTCTCCCTTAGGGTCTTCTCATCTTGATTCCCGCCAGGCACAGTTTCCATGAGTGCCTCTCCTATTCTCTAGCCCAAATGTCTGATGAATGCTTTCCCTTATTTCCTGAGATACACTGTCAATTTCAAAAGAAACTTTAGTACAAAAGCTAGGGGGAAAAACAAAGAAAATATAAAATCATGAAAAACAATCAAGCTTATATGTGATATATACTTTTTTGAACCTAAGTATGCCAGGAAAAGCAGTGTGGTTCTTGAAGAAATTCTACCTTCTCTTACCCTAAAATAATGAGACTGTAATGGCTGATGGGCTAGCACAATTTTGCAAGCATATTGGCTGTAACCCTTTGTCTTCAGCCCCTTGCCTCAGCCAGGAAAAGTCTGAGGTGACATCTTTGTTTCTGACATACAGTAGTTGGTGTCCCTGAATATGTGTCTCACTCCTCATTTAACGGTGTCCATTAAGAATATTCCATTTTCCTTTAAATAAAACTTTTCCCTGTTTCAAATGCTGTTGCTTGCTCAGATCCACCTGCCTAGTTTCACCTTGAGGCCTGAGAGACATGCATGTGTACAGCTGACTTGCAGAACTGGTGACTCCTGCCTTCAGCCTTAGTGAATAATCTAATGCAATGGTTCCCATGTCTTGCTGATTATCAGGATTATCTGAGGAACTTTTGCAAAGTTTAGATCACTGAACCCCACTCCAGACTTCTAAATCAAATCTTTGGCAGTGGGGCATAGGAATCTTTATCTTTAACAAGTATACTAAGTGAAAATGATGCACTAGGTCTCATTTAGGGATTATTGTCTGTTTCCTCCATACTCAGTCAACTTTGCCTACCTCTGGATCATTCCATAAGGACATTCCCCACCCTCACTTTGTCACTCTACATTTTGACAATAAAACAGGATCTTAATCATACCATCCATGGAGCTGTAGGGGGAATTGCGATAAAGGGGGTTTTTATGTAAGCTAGAAGTTTCCATAACCCTACTGCTTTTTCTAGAGAAATCTGTTTGAATCTTCTAACTACATAGGATCGAAATGTCCCCACAGAATTTACTGCCAGGCCAACAATAATGAAGATTTCAGCAGGATGTGTTCCTAGGTTAATGAACAGTCAGCCCTCCCCCTGAAAGGCCAATACTGAGAATGCAAGACACAAATATAATCTAGGAAATGAGAAGCATAATTTATGCGAAACCCAAGCTCTTACTGAATTTTAATTTTAATGTATGTTGCTTGTACTCATCTTTTTATATTTCAAATAACAATCACTTACCCTTGACCAATTTTTTCAAATCTTGTGTATTTTTTCTTTGGGTCCCCAACACTCACAATGCTTCCTAAGAGATGGGTGGGGAGAGAAGAAAAGAGGAGGAGGTGGAAGAGAGAAAGAGAGAGAGAGAGAGAGAGAAATGGAAATTGATTGACTGTTTTTTAATTTAATAATGAAAATTAAGATGCCAGAGTCAGTGACAAATAAAACATTAGACAAATACTCCCATGTGATTTCTATAATTTATATAAAATGATACTTTCTACTTATTAAAATAACAAATAATTTTATAGTAATTAAAGTAGTAATAATAACTCATTTTGCTTATATTCAAAATTACTGATATTTGGAAAACAAAACTTGTCACAATCCAACATCTATAAAAAGTTCTCATGATACTATATATTAGGATATAAAAACCATCTAAGAAAGGGATGGAGCTGGAGGTCATGATCCTAAGCAAACTAATGCAAGAAAAGAAAACCAAATACTGCATGTTGTCACTTACAAGTGGCACTTATAAGAGCTAAACAATGAATACACATGAGTATAAAGATAGGAACAATAAACACTGGGGATCACTAGACAGGGGAGGATTGGGAGAAGGGCTGAAGAACTACCTATTGGGTAGTATGCTCACTGCCTGGCTGTAGGCATCATTAGAGTCCCAAGCCTCAGCCTCACACAATTTACCCATGTAACAAACCTGCATATGTATCCTTTAATCTATAACAGAAGTTGAAGTTATAAAATACAAAAATGTGCTCAGTCTCATAAATATTCCGGAAAATACACATTAAAACCAGAATGAGTTAACACTACAGACTGATCAGAATGGCTAAAATTGAAAGGGTTGTCAATACCAAATGTTATCAATGATGTAGAGCAATTGGAACCCTTGTGCACTGATGCTGGGTACATAAATTGGTATAATCGCTAAAAAACAATCTAAGAACTTATCCACACTATTTAGTAAAATCACTATCTTCTCTGAATTGAAGTTAAGCACTATGCTATATCCAATTCTGCTGGACAAATATCTATTGAGTATTTACTATGTACCCAGCACAGTGCTAAGGGTGTGGGGATGGAAATGAGTCTAATGAAGAACAAATTATGATCATAAAATAATGAGACCCATGCATTTTCAAAACATACATTTCTGAACCTAGGACACTGTTAGTGCTCCAAAGATTTGAACAGATTTACTGACATATGATTTACATACCATAAAGTTCAATGACCTAGAGTGTGCAATTGAATGTTTTTAACATATTTACTGAGTTGTGTAAATGTCATCATGATCTAATTTTAGAATGTTTTCATTATTCCAGAAAGAAACCTTGTACCTGTTACTTGTTAGCAGTTACTCCCCATCCTCCCTCAGCTTGCCAAAACATACCTCGGCAACCACTAATCTACTTTCTGTTTCTATAGATTGCTCCGAACATTTTTAGTAAGTTTATAAGCTACATAAGAAAACTATTAATTGATCATATTTGGCTCTTTAAAAATATTAGTTTTGCTATTTCAAAAAAATCCAACCCATCACTCAGAGGATGAATACTTGCTATGACTCAGAATAAATACCACAGAAGTGGCATTGACTCCTCAATGCAGTGTTCAAATAGGTACAGAAAAAACTTGGGATTATAGAACCACCATGGGAATAAGGGTGCAGCTTCTCAAGGGTACTACTTTGAAGGGCATCATTTATTTGGATGCCTCTGGCCCGCCTTTCTTTTTGGAAGCAAACATGTCAGTATTATTACCTTTGAGTTAGTTATATCTTACTAACACATAGTACAAATAAGTGTACGGTTGGTTGGTAAGACAAGATTTTCACATATGAACTAATCAAGAGATCTGTAGATTCTATCTTCTAGTTGTCACTCGTATTCATACTCTTCTCTCTATGCCCATGGCCACTGTTATTGTTCGGGCCTTCAATACTTCTTATTCAAACAATTGTGCCAGTCATAACCTACTTATAGACTCTGCTTTCTCTAGTTCCTCTTACACCACGCCTTTGGAAAAGGGTGACCATATTATTCATAAAATGAGACTGTCCTGGACAGACTGAGATGTACAATAACTCTATATCAGAATGATTTTGCTCCACTGTTCATGATTCCTCAAAAGCTCCTGCCCACTGCAAGATCAAATCCAATTTCTGTAGTTAAACAGAGAAGGCCCTTCACCATTCAGCATCATCTGGCTCCTATCTAACCAGTCTAGCTTTATATTATTCTTTTTCTCCCCCCTTACTACTTTATATCCTAGTAATGCTATCACTATCTAGTGCTTAGGTCTTTGCAGGTGCTCCCCCTTTTCCTTTCCTATCTAACCCATGAATTCTTGTCATTTAAATAAAATCTCAAATTATCCACCTCTATGAAGTCTTCTCTGATCATTTCACTGAGACTTACATGCTGCTTCTCGAGGGCAGGAACTTTGTCTTTTCATCCCTGTAACTTTGGAGCCTAGAACAGTGGCTGCTACTAAACAAATATTTGTTGATTAAATGAATAAGAACAAGAAAATATGTATTTAAGTGCTCAATTATATGCTACAGATAATACTTCATGCTAATTTATACAACAGTCTATTCTCTTTTATATGCTAATTATATGCTACAGATAATACTTCATGCTAATTTATACAACAGTCTATTATAAATTAAGTAGACAACTTAATTTAGACCTAACAGTAGATAGCATACCTTGAGAAAAATAATCAGTTAAACATTTCATGCATGGATTACTCATCAAGTTGTTGGGTTTTTTTTTTTTTTAATGAAAGTTCACTTTTCAATTAAGTTAAATAACACTTAGCTAATATATGGGTTGTTATAATACTTTTTCTTTTGTATTTCCACTCAGTCAGTAGTACTGTCAGTCCATCTACTCATTAGCCTGAGTTAGAAATCTGCGAGTCATCATTGACTCTTTGTCTCTTACTATCACTTATCACATGCAGTTGTCCACCAAGGGCCTATATCTTGTTACCTCCTAGACGTCTTTTGAATGTGTTCCTTCCTCATTACTACTGCTTTAGTTGGGCTCTCATTATCTTTTCCCTGGGTTATTCCAACAGCCTCCTAGCTAGACTCCTAGACTAGCTGCTGCCCCCTCTGTTCAAGGCTCTACATCTCTATCAGGATCCTCTAAGTACAGACCTGATGATGTGATTCTCTGGTTCAGGATTACTTGATAGCTCCCTAACACCTACAGATGAAAGCCAAAACTCCTTGGCAATGCAAGGTTCCTAATCTGGCTCCCGCTTCATTCTCTTCTCATCATTTACCACTTCCTCACTAGAACTTCATGCTCTGAGCATAACAAACTAATGGTAGCTCATGATCAGCTCCTGCTTAAAAGTTCAGTTTCCTCTCCTACAACGCCAGTGTCACCATATACCACCAATTCTTTATTCAAGTAACACCGAATAAGTCAGAGTTCCCAGACATATGCCTTCAAGTCTTCTTTACATGCCATTTGCTGCCTGAAATGTCCTTCCCATATTTTCTCTGTGGCAAGTTCCTAGTCATGCTTCAAAACTTTGTTTAGATGTTGCCTCTTCTAGGAAGCTTTCTCTGATCCCTTTGAATAATTAACAGCTTCACTTTTCTGTGCTACTACTGTATCTTCTCTCTCTCTCTGGCCCTTGCTCTCTCTCTCTCTGTACTTAATATATCAGATGTCTATATCTATCTATTTGGAACTTTGACTTGCAAGAATTAGAACTGAAGGGTTCCATAATCATCTGGCATCCATTCAATGTTGTATCTATGGCTAGAAATATACCTGATATACATGATAGGAATTCCACAGTTTTTCCTGGTTCACTTAAGGTCTCGGTCACAATGTAACACTTGTGCTGAGTTACTCTCTGTACTAAGCAGTCATCTGCATAGGTTCCTTTGTGTGTGCATGGTATTTGATATCGCCTTTTAGACTATGTCTTAAGGACAAGGAGCCATGTCTTATTCATCTCTGTATCTTCAGTGCCTCCTCATACAATGCCATGTGTAGAATATATTGAATACTAAATGAATATTTTCCAAATTACAGTAAAATACAATTAGTTATTTCCGTTTGTAAATGCTCCATGGTTTAAGGCAAGGGTTGGAGAATATATTTTACTTGAACTGTATCTATAGAATGCCACCAATTTAGCAATTTCTGAGTTGGCCTTTTATTTTTCAACTTGTCTAAAAGATTTCTATATAACTGAGAGCCATCCTTATTCAAATTAGCTATTAATGGGCAAGGGCCTGGACTTTTTTATTTTAATGAAATGATTTTAAAGTAATTTGAAGCCATAATTTTATTAAGCAGTTTATAGTCTTCTAAAAGTTTTGCTATTAAGTTGCTAAGCAAACTTTTTTCAAAGCAAATAAGCTTCAGCCCAAGTCACTTTCTGAATTATAACCCATTCCAATTGGTGGAGTTCAGTTAATGTGGCTTTATGGTAATAAATTATTCAACCTTTATTTCCATGTTATGCAGGGGAAAAAAAACTGGAAATAAATCCTTTCACAAGGATTACCAAAAGACAACCATTTTGATGAGATTCCACTTCTGAACTTAACTGCTATTCAAATAAAATGGTGTCTCCACACCCATTGCCCTTCACAGCAGAGTGTGTGCTGCCATCTACTGATGTTAGGTAAGTATACTAGAGGCCTTGTTTACCATTCTCAATCACAAAACAAGCTTTTAAAGTTATCTTTTCCATTAGTTATTATAATTTGCTTTTGTAAATTATGATAGATAAAAAACACTGTGACACAGTAGGGAGAAAGTTTTTAAAAATCAGCAAATCAAAATCAAAAGAAAAAAAAGCAATACCAGAACAATTTCCTACCAGAACTTCCTAAATAAGAAAGAAACTATTCATTTTAAAGTACAGGTTTTAAGAACACTAAATACTTACATTTGAAAATAGCATTTATGATTTCAGTTCAGTGACAGAAAAGCCCATCAATATATTTTCTGACTAAGGTGAACTCCCACCATTAAAAGATTATCCTTTCAGCATAATGAAGATTTTGATTTCTGAGAAAAAGTAAAATAATTATCTAAACTGATATCAGTTCTATATGAGGGTGAATTAGGAAAAAGGCTTTGAGTGAGGAATGCTGAGGGAGGCACGAGGCAAGGAGTTGGTGATTGTGGGGCCCAGAGGAAGGAGGTTGAAGACAAATTTCCTGTATTACACAACTTTACTGACAGTCAATGGCTTTTGAAATTTGTCACTAAAATGTGGGCGTTTCCTTTTTTATTATACTTTAAGTTTTGGGGTACATGTGCAGAACGTGCAGTTTTGTTACATAGGTATACACGTGCTATGGTGGTTTGCTGCACCCATCAACTCGTCATCTACATTAGGTATTTCTCCTAATGCTATCCCTCCCCTAGCCCCCCACACCCCGATCTCAGTGTGTGATGTTCCCCTCCCTGTGTCCATGTGTTCTCATTGCTCAACTCCCACTTATGAGTGAGAACATGCAGTGTTTGGTTTTCTGTTCTTGTTTCTTTATTTTTCAACAGATCGGGACAGACCACAATGAACAAGCCAGACCCAGGCTCTTTGTCTGTGTAAAACCGAAAGATGACCTGTTCATTTCAGCCAATAATGATTCTTGGTCTGGCCACCACAATCAGTATCTGCATGGAAGATGAAGAATAGCTCTGTGGTCTGGGCTGCCCATCTCTTAGTAACCGGACCCCTGACACTGAAGGTGAGGATGGTTTAGTAGAGGCTGCCATCTACTCTTCATCATGCTTATGAGGTCCACTCTGGTATGGGATATTGGCCATCTTTCTACTTCCCTGTTTCCCTTTTTCCTCTCTTTTGCCTCTCAGCACAGGCTGCTCTACTTTTTCCCCAAGCTCCAATGGGGCCCTTGAGTCCAAGATACTTGATGGCTTCTGTACAGTAATCATACATCTGGGATTATTCCTGGTTTCAATCATTCTGTCACACTGGTAAGACCCCATAACCCCATTTTTATGCTGAAAAATATGATTGCTCTCACTCTAAAAATAGCATAATAACAATTTTATACTACTGTTTATTGTGCTAGATGTCTTATCTACTTTAACTCATTTAGTCCTCACACAACCTCCATTATGTAGGTACAATTATTATCTCCATCTTTCAGATAAAGAAAATGATGTTTGGAGATGTTAAGTGACTTGACTAAGGACATACAGCTAGTATGAGTCTATGACTCAGACCCAGTGATGACTTATTTCAAAGCTTGACCCATTGTATTATATTATTAAGGCTTTATACTTATGTAGTAATAATTACCACTTATTGAGCCCTTATGATGTACCTGGTACTGTTGCTGGGGTTTTTATATTATCATTATCCCCACTTTTTAGATGAGAAAATGGGGGTCCAGAGAATTTAAATAACTGGCCCTAAGTGACACAGCTAATAGCAATGGGTCTGTGATTTAAATGTAGATCCTTCTGACTCCAATATCTGACCTCTTAACCATAGGATGAGCTCCTTAAAATCCATCCTATAGACAGAGTCTTGAAATGTAGTAATGGGCTAGGCTTGGTGGCTCCTGCCTGTAATCCCAGCACATTGGGACGCTGAGGCAGGAGGACTGCTTGAGCTCAGGAGTTCAAGACCAGCCTGGGCAACACAGCAAGACCCCATATGTACAAAAAATAAAAAAAAAATAGCCAGGCATGGTGGCATAAACTTAAAATTATAGTTACCTGGGAGGCTGAGGTGGATTGTTTGAGCCCACGAGGTCAAGGTTGCAGTGAGCTATGATTGTGCCAGTATACTCCAGCCTGGGTAACAGAGCCAGACCTTATCTCTTACAAAAATGTAATTTTGTAAAAATGTAGTTATGATTCTTATCTCCATTTCACAGGTTAAAAATTGAAGCTCAGAGGAGTTAAGTCACTTGTCTGAAGTTATCCTTAGACAAAGGTGTAATGGCAAAGAGAAGGCACAGAGAGGGTAATGGTGGAGCAGGAAAGTCTGACTTTGTGGACTTTAGAGTATAGTTCACTGGATCTGCTTCATGAGAAGCACTGCTCCATTTCTCAGCAGGTTCACCCTGACAAAATCTACAAATTCAATGTAAGGTTGGCAGTCACAGGTGGCCTGCTGGCTAGAGGGAAAATGACTGTCTCTATGCCCAAGCATGAAGTCCAGTATAGAAAAAAAAAAAACCCACTTAATTCTTAATTAAAATGTATCAAATTAGCTTCCCCTTCTTCACCAAGTTGCTCAGTGTAGAGCAGAATAAACAACAAATAATAAGGACACAGCTCTAGCACGATTAGAGTTTACAAGCAAAACAAGATTTTGGTCCAAGAAAATAATGCTTGTTTCTCTGTCAACTAACTTAACAAAACTATACAAGCATTTTTGTTGTAATACATCCATTGAGATTTGAAACAGATACCAAATAACAGTCATTTTATTAAAGCAAGGCTGTTGGATTTTTAAAATCTGATATAATCACATAGGTCATGTCTACATACGCAAAATAAAGAAAAACATTGTGGCAATTGTCTGAATAATTGGACTTAAATTATTCCAGGCAATTCTTTCATTTCATTCTTCCTTTTTACAAAAATAGACAATTGGGATATGCAGAAGCAAAGTAGGTAGGTAATGGAAAAGGTGTAAGCTTTGAAGGTAAACAGGTCTCAGTTCAAACTTTGGCTGTGCCACACATTAGTTTGGTGACTTGGTCAGTTAAGCTTTTTAAAGCTTACTTTCATTCACTGATCTGTAAAATGAGGATATTAGGATCAGCTGCAAGGAACTACTGTGAAACTATGATAATGTATGTAAAGTGGCCCACTCAGAAGGTGCCCAATAAATGAGAATTACTATTGCTGTTATTACAGCAAATGGTTAGTATCAGTGCTAGTGGCATATTTAATCATGAATAGTAAAGTCAGCAAAAATCTAGCAATTGTAGTTCTGAGTGCTCACTGACAGCTGCAACTCCGACCTTTGCCTTTCCAAATGCATCTAACTCAAATGCCTCAATTTCAGTACTGTTGACATTTTGGACTGAATAATACTTTACTGTAAGGTGGACGAAGGGTAGCTGTCCTGTGCACCGTAGGATGTTTAGAAGCATCCTCGGCCTCTACCCATTAGATGCTACTAGCAATCTCTGAATCAGGACAATAAAAATAGTCTTCAGACGTTGCTAAATGTCCTTGGGAGGGCAAAATCATCCTACCACCACCTCTGCAGAGCCTCCCTGTGGCCTATAGTGGGAATTACTCTCTTCCTTTTCTGAGGTCTTTTAAATAAAAATATACATGAAACAAGATTCTCTTATGCTGTAATTGTATCATATTATTAAATCGTATTTTCCAAAAAAGATTAAATTTCTTGATGACAGGAAAGTTTCATTCTGTTGTGTCCTCCAAAGTTTCTTGTATAGAACAGACAAGTAGGAACTCAGTAAAGATGTATTTGTTTACTTATTTTTTTCATTCATTCCCTCAACAAGCATTTGCCGTATGCCTTTATGTAATAGGCATGAACTAGGAGTTGGACATGTAAGGAAAAAAAGGCACAGTCCCTGCTGTTAAGAATCTCACAGTGTAGTGAAGAAGTCAGACTAATATGGTTTGATATTTGCTCCAACAGAAGTGGTAAGGAAGAGACGCCCTTAACTTGGACTGGGAGAGACAAGCAACATTTTTCTGAGGAGGCAACTTTTGAGCTGAGTTTTGAAGGATGAGTAGGAGTTAGTCAAACTGGGGGTTGGAGGGGGAGGGCACTTATTGCTGATATCTAGCAATTTATTAGAGGCTTTTATAGTATGAGTTTAATGAATATGCTTTACAAACCTTTGACTTTTCAGCAGATAATCCTTTTTTTATCTTCTTGACCCAGAAAAGTAACTAGAAGGTGAGTGTTTTCTAAAATTGGGGCAACAAGTGTGTACACACAAGTATGTACATACTAATGACATTGTGGAAGGAAGCTACTAGCATTTGCTAGTTCTGTCTCTCCTGCCACATAGCAATGCTTCTGAATTAAGGGAAAAAGCTATATTATTTGTTGTTACAAGTTTTGATTGACTGTGTTGGGCTTTGAGGTTAACATATCTATCATCACTGATTAGTTGAGGGCCCTTGGGTTATGATCATAACATATTTTATCAGACTATTCTATCTCTTTTGAAGATGTAATATTAAAACTTGCTACTTAATTTGTCTTATCAATTTTCATCTCAATTGATTCCTTCAAGTAAAAATATTTAGTTCCTGTCAAATTAGGAGTGGAAGGGAGAAAGTGTTCTGGCATATGCAGTGAGTCCCAAATTTTTCATCTCATGATTTTGGGAAGTCTGGAGTTCATATAAGCAGATTAAAACTTTCAAAGGATCAATTCCCATTTTAAATGGTTTATGAGAAACACTCCCATGAAGAAAGTAATCATGGCAAAAAGTACTCACTTAGCTTCTCTAAGATCTCCTCATCTGTCATCTTGGATTTTTTTCTTTGCCGATCTGTGTTCCTGTACAAAGTACTGGAATTGGCATTTTCAGCAGAGGGTGGTGTGACCTCTTTATTTGGTGCTGCTGGTGAAGCAATGGATTCAACCACAGAAGCACGGATTCAACCACAGAACGAGTGTAGATCTAAAACAACAGAAAGTTCTGCAATTAAAAAAAAACATCAGGCCAAGGAAAGAGTGTGAAGTCAATGTATTGTAATATCAATGAATTTTTAAAGACAAGTGGTATTTTCTTAAAAAAAAAAAAAAAAAAAAAAAAAGGACTTTGAGTAGCTGAAAGTACAACACTATTGAAAGATCATGGGAGCTAGTCTTTGGATGTCCCTATACATGCCTTGCTAATTGTAGTCTGAGGACCTCTGTTTTTGCAATTCTTCCTACCTGGTTCACATGGATTTCCTTCCTTATCTTAACTTCTCCAACATTTTTATTACTTAGCAGTTATGTATTGTTTGGTATTATTCTCTAATTGTTTAATGTGCTAATCTTGTATCCTCAAACAGCATCCTCAAAACCTTGGTCATATTTTATACTCTAGCTCTTGGAACATAAAAGATGCTTAATAGGTAGCAGTAGATTAACTATATTCTAACTCTATGACTATTCCAAAGGGCATCTTTTGAATCATTTGGAAATAGTCCTTTGTGACTTACTGATTTTGTATGCTCTGGTCTTGGTGCGATAACTGGTGGTAGCTCATTGTCATCTTCTTCTTCTTCCTCCTCTTCATCTTCTTCTTCAGACACAGGAGGGGCCAGTGGAGGCTCAGATGCTGTTTTTGTACTCTTGTGACAAAAACAAAGTTTATAGATCAGGTATTAACTCCTTTGTTTTGTTTTTCTTCAGAAATAAAACAAAGGAAATGAAAATATTTAAGCATGTAGGGATAGGAGGAAACTACATCTTTCACAAATGATCAGAATCATCAACAATTTGGTGGCCAGGGCTTGCTCACCTGAACATAATCTCTGAACTTGTTCAGAGATAAATTCATGTCATGGCTTAAAGAACCATGAAGTGTATTTTTTAAAAAAAATTCTCATTGAGCTGAAAAACAGTGGACTATTATTCACTTAATATTTTAAAGTTCAGTGTTTTTGAAATACATTAAAAATCAAACTAATTTCTCTTAGAGCCTTGAATCTATACTGGGAAGATTATCAATTTATTGATTGACAGTTTGTCCACTTGAAAAGAACTATTTTCTACCTAAGGATCAGAGCATACATATGCATATTGTATTAATATAGCTCTGTAAATACTCTCTAAGAACAAGCAAGCCAATAAATGTCTCTTCCCTGTCCAGCCTCCTGGAAAGAAGCACTCAGAGAGTAATAGACATGAAGATCTAAAGAATACTCATCCACATGAATAATCACTCAATATTAACCAAGAGTTAAATGGAGATTTTCGATGTTTTATCAACTGCAATAATACGACAGTACTGTGGTACAATAGCAATAATACCCAAGGACAGTTCTTGATCATTCATGTTAATACAGTGGTAAAATGGTTCCAAAGTTTGATTTTGAAAGACCCATGGCCATGGTTCTCAAAGCTTGGTTCCCGGATCAGCATCATTAGTATCATTAAGGAACTTGTTAGAAATGCAAATTTTCAGGCTCCATCCAGACCTATGAATCAAAACTCTGGAAGTGGAGCCCAGTGATCTGTGTTATAACAAGCCTTCCAGGTGATCCTGATGCATGCTCAAGTTTAAAAACCATGAACTATGGCTCAGGTCTGCACTGTTTAATATGGCCACATAGCAACCAGCCACATAAGGCTACGGAACACTTAAAATGTGGCCAGCCTGAATTGAGATGTGTTTCAAGTGTAAATTACATCCCAGATATTGTATACTTAATATAAAAAAATTGTAAAATGTTAGATTAATATTTCTTATATTGATTATATGTTGAAATGCTGGTATTTTGAATATATTGGCTTAATAAATATATTATTACAATTTATTTCACCTATTTTTTACTTTTTAATATGTGGTTACTAGAAAATTTAAAGTTATGAATATAGTTTATATTTCTGTTGGACAGTGCTATTATAGGTGGTTATTTTTGTTTGTTTTTGGTTTGTTTTTGTGTATTTATTTTGTTTTTGTTTATGCCACTGGGCATACTGGCCTAACATAATCCAACAATGAATTTTCATTCTTTGAGGACAAAGCTCCTGAGGCAGTTACAGGCAGCCTGTTAATAGACCATTACATCAAAGGACCTCAATCATGATTAAAAACTCAATATTGCTTTTCTACAATCATGTATAAACATATGGTGAAGTAATAAGGTGTAATCATACATCTGAAAGGAGCCAGAAAGACTTATCAATTGTGAGAATAAAGACAACCTAGAATTTATAAACAAGCATTTGAAAGAATATTTTATTGCCCTGATATAGATGCTAAGTGGTTTATAGATTGAAGTTTGTATGTTTACTGAACATTGGTTTTCTTGTTTATGCAGCTATATTGATTCTTAATTTAGCCATAACAACTGGGCTATTACATTGTATAGTTATGTGGATAGCAACATCTGTTAAAGACATTAAGTTTCCAGGTTTTTAAAAAATCACTTTCTTCTTGCAAAACACTAATTCTTCAGGGGACTTCAGTGGGCACAGGGAGAAATGGGCTTTGGGTTATTGAAATTTGCTTTGATATTATGTTCCAGAAAGTTTTGCCCTATCTTATACCAGCCGGTTTCAGGAATGTACCTAATCACTGTTTCTTTGTAGAAGGGTGGAAGCTGAGTACTTTTTTATATGGCAAATGGTGCTATTTTATCCATTAGGTAATATGAACCTTGCCCAGGGTTGATAAGTTTTACGTGGGCCTATAAAAGTGTTTGCCATCAGAAATAAATCATCAGCTCCAAAAAGCCAGAAGAAAACTATAAAGTCAAAATTAATTAATGTCTGATTAAATGTCTGTTAAGTATAACAATATGCCAACTTAACTAGTCTCTTATGTCTAGCATTTATAGAAATTTCATTATATTAAATATAAATTGTAGGTTAGATTTTCATATTTAGCAATAATTCTTGAATATTTACAATGATTTAACCAGAAATTATACCTAATCATACATTTTAAAAGTTACTTGTAAGTAAATAATTTCAAAATTAATATTTCAAAAATAATTTCAAAAATTTATAGCAAAAATATAAAGTGAAGTATGGGGGCCCTTTAATATGTTTAAAGCAATGCATGATGTGACCTCTACAAGTGAGAGTATATACAGTCTATTAGGCTCTAAAAACAGCCCTAGAGGCAAAAAGAATGATTCAAAGTCTAGTCTTCTTGGTCTAAACCTTAGACTGGTACAAAGACCAGTCAATGTCTGCTGGGCAAGGGGCAAGCTTACACATTTCAAGTCTTAATATTTCACTAGATAAGATCCACCTGCAAGATTTCACTGACTGTTAACGTTCATTACTATCTTCACAGCTAATCTCCAATGGAAGCCATTCCCCATCTCCAAGGATAGACTTAAGGGACTATTAGAAAACCTGAAGGTTTGTGGAAAAAGAAAAAGACAGATATTTCTGTTTACTTTGGACCAAACACTATCCTGCCATATTGGTTGGTTGACTTGGAAGAATGTATGGCATTGAGTGGATAGTATGTTTTGAATTATGGTTGGGCCAGAGAGCATTAAAACCCCAGCAATCCACCAAGGATACCAATCTTCAGTACTGAGAACTGAAATTAACGATTTCTGCCCCTGTGTTAAAAAATACTGGGATCGGGCATACTTTACTGTCACCGTGTAAACAGTACTGGGACTGGGCATATTTTATTTTCCCTGTGTTAGGCAATATCCAGACAGACATACTTTAATGTTCTTATGTTAAACAATACTGAGAATAAGTAATAGCTTCTTACTTTAGGAAATACTTGTTTCTAGAAGATACCGTGAACCAACTAATTTGCTCATCGAGACTAACAGCTTGCTCACTAAAACTTGCTTCAAGCCCCTTCCTTTGCTATATTCACCAATACAAAGCTATTTTATCATAAACACTGCACAATGTTAACCCATTCCTCACCTTGCAAGACCTGCTTTAAAATCAAACAGTCTAAGCCCTAACACCCTATAAATAATCCCTTCTGATATCCCCTTCTTAAGACACTAAGACTTTATCAAAGTAATGCTTTTATGTCACTCTAATTTTAATAAACATAGCTTTACTTAGAGGTTTTCTGGGTGATCATTTTTGGAGTCAATGGTGCAATGTTTCCATACTCTTCATTCCAGGCTGAGAATTACTGTATCTAAAACTTCTAAACTTATAGAAATATAGATAGATGGATAACAAGTAAGGAATATTTTTGTCATCAAATTAGATATTTTTGACACTCTAATTTTGCCAGACATTGGGGCAGGGAATGTAGTTCTTTGTTTCGTTTTGCTTTTTGAGATGGAGTTTCGCCATTGTTGCCCAGGCTGGGGTGCAATGGCACAATCTCTGTTCACTGCAACCTCCACCTCCTGGGTTCAAGCAATTCTCCTGCCTCAGCCTCCCAAGGAGCTGGGATTACCGGCATGTGCCATTATGCCCAGCTAATTTTGTATTTTTAGTAGAGATGGGGTTTCTCCACATTGGTCAGGCTGGTCTCGAATTCCTGACCTCAGGTGATCCACCTGCCTCGGCCTCCCAAAGTGCCGGGATTACAGATGTGAGCCACTGCGCCTGGCCAGGAATGTAGTTCTTAACCTGAGTTGGGTTCCAGACTCTTAGGGTTTGGTCTGTCTCCCCAGAAAAATACAGGTAGACACATTCTTTTACATATAACTTCAACAGTTCATAGATCTGAAGCCCACCCATGAACTCCAAGTTCTGAACATTGCTTTAGAGAATACACCAGCTAGAGTATGTACACACCAGTAGAGAACCTTAGGAAATTCCCTTTTCTCTGAGCTTAATTTTTCAAGGCCAAAGAACTTAGAGGTAAGGAACTTAGAGGCTTTAGACAATATAAAATGTTGTTTGGGGGCCACTTTTGGTGATTGTTTAGAATGTAGATTTTAGGTTTCTACTCCAGATCTACTCTGGAAGTGGAGCCCTGGAATCCTCAATTTAACAGAATCCCCAGGAAATTCTGATGCACACTGAAGTAAAGGAATTAAACTACGTTAAAAAAAAAATTAACCAGTACTGCAAATCACAAAAGAGCAATCTGTCAACTGCACACCCAGTTGCTCTAAGCACAGATAATGGCACATTCAATATGACAACACAATAATGACATATTATTGCTGTTACCTTCCACTTGGAATACTAACTAAGGATTCTAAATATGTCATTTTATTTTCAACAGTACAATAAAAATATGAAATTTTAAAATTAGCCTCAAATTAAAGAGTAGGGGCCTGAACAGTATTTGAAATTGAACACACTAATATCAAAGAAGCTACTACAAATAAGCAGTAAAGCAGGTGTTATATGACTATGACATCTCTCCCTGAGTTCAATATTAATTACAGAATCATGAGTTTAAAAAATTTAGAGAATACAACATTGCTTCTGTTTTAATTCTCACCCAGGCTACTAAAGGATGCAAAACTTGTGATCAGTTCAGACTATGTCTACAAGGGTTTGTCAGACCCATTAAATTAGATTTTGTAGACAGCCAGATCTATTGGGAGTTTTTATGATGCAAAAAGACATACACATTGCGAAGCATACTCTCTTCTAAAACTATAAGGAAAACATAAGGTGCAGTTATCCATTCCTAAGGAACTGAGTCCCACTGAAGTGATTGAAATAGATTGTCGGGGTCCAATTCAGTTCATTCAATCAATAGAAACCTAGCCTTCATCAAGCCATCAATCTATTATCTTCACCTGAAAGTCCTGCCAGCCCTTCAAACTCAAACTGTCTAATAAGGAACTCAGCATCTTCCCACAGAAATCGGCTTCTCCTCAAAGACAGCATCATTATCTTTTTACCCACTAGTTATCAGTTTAAGCCTGCGTTCATCTTTGACCTCACTCTTTCCTCCAACATCCAATTAATAATCTAAATACCTCTAGAAATTGAATGTAATCTCCCCATTCCTGCTGCTACTACCTAATTTCTGGCTCTGATTACCTGGATGCTTGCAATATTCTCCCTACTAGTGTCCCTTCATCCAGTCTCACCATTTGTCCTTAATTCATTCTGGACATTTGCTGTCAGATTACCCTTCCCAAGGTCTAAGTGTTAATCACTTAACCCTCCTGCTCCAAAACACTTCAAAAGCTTCCCACTGAATACTGGAAAGCCAGATTCCTTGGAATACCATTTAAGGGCCTGTATGATTCGGTTCCACCTTAACCTTCAAGACTTATTTCCTGATTCCCTTTCTTGCATCTCAGTCTTCATTCAACCCCATATTCTTTGTTTCCTTGCTCTACTCACCAACATACCCTTTCTTATGCTTTTCTTTTTACTTAAAATGCCCTTCCCATCTTCACAGATCGAAATCTCATCTGACCGTTAAGATCTAGCTCAAATGCCAACTTTTATATGAAGCATTTTCTAACTTAACATTCAACAAATACATACCAAGTATCTATTTGGTACCAGACACTGAGCTTCAGCCCTTGGAGACAAGGGCCTGCTTCCCTTTCCCTCCCCAGTTAAAACAATCTACTTTCTTTGAAATCTCATAGCATGTCGACATATTTTATGACATGTAATACTATCCATATTGTTGGGTTTTTTTTTTTTGAGACAGGGTTTTGCTCTGTCACTCAGGCTGGAGTCCAGTGACAGAATCAAGGCTCACTGCAGCCTCCACCTCCAGGGCTCAAGCGATCCTCCCACCTCAGCCTCCAAAGTAGTTGGGACTACAGGTGCGCACCAACATGCCCAGCTAATTTTTGTATTATTTGTAGAGACAGGGTTTTACGATGTTACCCAGTTTGCTCTTGAACTCCTAGGCTCAAGAATCTGTCCACCTGAACCTCCCACAGTGCTGGGATTACAGGCATGAGCCACTGTACTCGGCCACTATCCATATTGTATTGTACTTCTTTATGTCCATGTTTACCTTCCCCCACCAGCCTTATAGCCAAACTTCCCAGAGCTTATAAGGAGACAATTGGTAAATATATGTTAAATAGGTAAATATCTATTTGTTTTATCTCCAGACAGTGAGATCATCATTTTTTTCTAACTTAATGGAATATTTTAGCCATAATATAGACTTCGTTTTAATTCTACATGCAAAACCAATAGAACCAATCTCAAAAGAAACAGTTAATATCTCAGGAGAAAACAAAAACCAATACACAGGCTATCCTAGAAAGTTGGTGTTTCAAATAACCGACCAACCTAAAAAAAAAAAAAAGTATTTTTTTTTTTTTTTTTTGCCAGAATACCCAGTCAAGATTGCACAAGCATGACATTAATGAAATCAAAGGAGGTAAAGTATGTGTTATCATGGAGGGTTGTCATTTTTGTCCTTCCCATTTTCCTATTGCCTCCCTTCACATGTTGTTTTCATTGTGGCCCAGGAAGCTATCATGGCAAAGATGGAGGAAAAGGGGAAATGGCCAGTCAGATGAGAAGGCCATATTCTGTTCTGTTTTGGGGAATCCGAACAAAGCGCAAGTACAAGTTTCATGTGTGAAATGAGTGAGTTTCTCCTCTTTTGTCATGTAAAAATAACAGTAGTTTACATTTAATAAATACATATTATGTGCTAGGTATTATACTAAGTACTTTATATGCATTATCACATTTAATATTCACACAAGACCTAGGAGGTAAGTACTATTATTATTCCCTCTTAAAGCTGAGGAAAGAAGCTCAGAGAAGCTAAGCTACTTTCCCAATGTCACATACTTAGTAAATAGCGAAATCAGATTAAATACCTATATCCAGAGCCTACACTCTTTCTTTTTTCATTTTATTCTTAATTGTAGTAAAATATATATAACATAAAATTTACCATCTTAACCATTTTTAGGTATACATTTCAGTACTGTTGAGGATATTGTTGTATAATGATCAAAGCCATTCATCTCTATAACTCTTTTCATCTTGTAAAACCGAAACTCTGTAGCCATTAAACAACTCCCCACTCACCCTGCTCCCAGCTCCTGGCAACTAGTATTCTACTTTCTGTCTCTATGAATTTGACTCCTTTAGGTACCTCGTATATGTGGAATCACATAGTATATACCCTTTTGTGACTGGCTTATTTCATTTAGCATAATGTTTTCCTGGTTCATCCATGTTGTAACATGTGTCAGAATTGTCTTCTTTTCAAGGTTTAATAATATTCTACTGTTTATACATACCATCTTTTGTTTACCCCTTCATCTGTTGATGGACACTTGGGTTGCTTCCACCATTTGCCTACGGTGAATATTGCTGCAATGAACGTGGGTGTATAAATATCTCTTGGAGATCCTGCGTTCAATTATGGGTATATACCCAGAAGTGGAATAGCTAGATCATATGGTTAATACCATTTTTAATTTTTGAGAAGCTGACATAACATTTCAGAACCTTTACTCTTTACAACTAAAGAAGATCTACTGGTGTCATACTGGCTACCCAGGGTGATGTCAAGCAGACATCTGTCCACTATAAAAGGCATTTGTCTGCTATAAAAGGAAGAAGAATCAGCTTGGCCATCCATGACTGTTTGAATAAATGGTTAGGAGATTTTCAGTAATGCAAATTATTTCACCCCTAAAAAAGCAAATGAGGCAGGAAGTAATTTCTATCAGAATATCTGAGATCATTTTCTGTCTAATGTGTTCAAATACTCTTTCAGATACTATAGCACTTTCAACAACTAGGTTACTTATTTTCTAGTCACTTCTCTGATAAAAATTATCAATGTGACTTTGGACAAAGTCACTTCCCTCACTGTACCTCGGTTTGTTGGAACAAGTGACATACAAAACTTATACTGTTATAACCTTAGAGAAGCTATTTAATTTCTCAAAACCTCAGTTTCCTCATCTGTAAAATGGGGACAATGGTGAGACTTACTTAATTGGGCTGTAGGAAAGATTAAGTACTTATAAAAATAAAATTATCTTACAGTTTGTATTGTAAGTGTACACTGTAGGTGTTGAGAGAAATTTTTATTAACATGATTATTATTCTCAAAGTTCTACATGTAAGAGAAACGGAAACATTGTTCACATAAAAACCCTGTACAAGAATGTTCCCAGTAGCTTTATTTGTAATAGCTAGCAACTGAAAATTTTCTAGAGAGACTTCGATGTATGAATGGTTAAACAAACAGTGGTACAATCATACCGTGGAATACTCAGAGATAAAAAGGAACACAAATTATTGATATACACAATAACTTGGATTAATCTTAAAAGAATTAAACTGAGTAAAAAAAGCCAATCCCCAAAAGTCACATGCTGTATTATTTCATTTACATGAAATGTCCAGAAAGCCAAATCCATAAAGGCAGAATCTATATTAGTTCTTGCCTGTGACTAGGGTGGGGTGAGTGGAGTTAACTGTAAGCCGATACGAAGGATTTTACTGGGGTGATGGACATGTTCTAAAACTCAATTGTGGTGATGGTAGCACAGGTATATATATTTACCAAAACTCATTGAACTGTTTACCTGAAAATAGGTGAATTTTATATAACTGAATTATACCTTAAAATTGTTTTTAAAAGACTCTATATCTAAAACCTGGATCTATGCAGTTATATTCTCTTGAATCTTTGGAAACACCCATCATGTGAAACAGTTTTCAATTTTTCACTTACCGAAGGATGGGCTGCTATGTATCCATGTGCACTTTTATCTGCAAAGTGAGAATAGAGAGGTCACTTTTGTTTCACAAAGACTGTTTCATTCAGAGACCACACCAGAAAAATAAAAATGAAAAAACTGCATGATTTCAACTAGAAGGAAATGTTCCAATTTAGTATTAACTAGATATTATGACTAATGACATAGCTTTTCTTAAAATAGCTCACACCATTACATCCTCACCATATTCTTACTAGGTCATTTTTACAGACATTAATGAAGGCCTCTGGTGAATCTCATTTATATGGAAGAATGACAAGATTACCTACTCTTAACTGATATGATTCTATACATCTATAGTAGTCCCCCTTATCTGAAGTTTCACTTTTTGTGGTTTCAGTTACCTGTGGTCAACTGTGATTCAAAAATATTAAATCAAAAATTGCAGAAATAACCAATTCATGAGTTTCAAACTGCATGCCATTCTGAGTATGATAAAATATCATGCTGTCCTGCTCCATTCCACCTGAAACATGAATCATCCCTTTGTCCAGTGTACCCACTCTGTTTACACTACCAGCCTACTAGTCACTTAATAGCCAGTTTGGTTATCAGAACAACTGTGGAGCTATCACAGTGCCTGTAGTCATGTACCCCTCATTTTACTTCATAATGGCTCCAAAGAGCAAAAGTAGTGATGCTGGCATATTGTTATAATTGTTCTATTTTATTATTAGTTATTGTCGTTTATCTCTTACTGTGCTTAATTTATAACTTTATCATAGGTAAGCAGGTATAGACAAAAAACATGGTATACATAAGGTTCAGTACTATCCATGGTTCCAGGCATCCACTGGAGGTCTTAGAACATATTCCACATGAGTAAGTGGGGAACTACTCTATATCTAGGATTTTTCCCACTTTCCTCTTTCCCTACCTCCTTTCCATTCCTTCTTTCCACCTTCCTGTGCTATCTCCATCTTCTCCTCCTCTTCTCCTCCTGTGCAATTAGTCAGTCCCAATACCAAAGCATTCAGAAAACCTATGATGAGGTACACTCAGCCTTCAGTACAGTACAACTATACAGTTTTAATATAGTTGTCAGGATTTCATCTTTGTAAGTTGAGAGAAATTTGGCATATAAAACTAAGTGTTAAACAGCAATGGCTATTTGGAGTAAAGAACAAACTCTGATACTCTAAAGTGTATTCATGGTTACAGTGAAATGATTTCTTGAATACATTTTCAGTTCTGGTTGCCTATGGGTCTAACTTGGAGCACAGCTCTTGATTTTCTCACATGAAACATTTTTTGATATGTCACCAGGATCTCTTAGATATTTTATTCTATGTGGAAGCTTAAATATAGTAAAAAGTTTTCCTTGATGGCTTTCTTTTTAGGTTTTCAACACTGAATAAGAGCAGTTAAGCAATCTTCTCATTTTAAGAAAGTCCAGTTTAGCAGTTTGGGCTTTGATATTTGATATGGCCAAATCAGACACTCTTCCCCTTCCAAGGGTATCCTTGGATCATTCTCAAAGAAACTTAAAGCCTGCTTATACTAAATCCAGTGCCAAGAGGTAGGGGCTCTTTATAGCTGGAGTACTAATGATAATACTCCCTTCATTCTTTAGATGTTAAATAATAAGTTAATAAATTATTGTAGAGAGAGAACTCAAATCATCTATCTCAAAATGTGAAAATATTATTTGGTATATATATTTCAGTTGCTAATATGGCTTGCCTGTGTCCCCACCCAAATCTCAACTTGAATTCTATCTCCCAGAATTCCCAAGTGTTGTGGGAGGGACCCAGTGGGAGGTAATTGAATCATGGGGGCTGGTCTCACAAGATCTGATGGGTTTATCACGGGTTTCTGCTTTTGATTCTTTCTCATTTTCTCTTGCTGCTGCCATGTAAGAAATGCCTTTTGCCTCCCACCATGATTCTGAGGCCTTCCCAGCCATGTGGAACTGTAAGTCCAATTAAACCTCTTTTTATTCCCAGTCTTAGGTATGTCTTTATCAGCAGCATGAAAATGGACTAATACAGTAAATTGGTACCAGTAGAGTGGGGCATTGCTAAAAAGATACCCAATAATGTGGAAGTGACTTTGGAACTGGGTAACAGGCAGAGATTGGAACAGTTTGAAAGGGCTCAGAAGAAGACAGAAAAATGTGGGGAATTTGGAACTTCATAGAGGTTTGTTGAATGACTTTGTCCAAAATGCTGAGAGCAATATGGACAATAAAATTCAGGCTGAGGTAGTCTCAGATGGAGATGAGGAACTTTTGGGAACTGGAGCAAAGGTGACTCTTGTTATGTTTTAGCAAAGACACTGGCGGCATTTTGCCCCTGCCCTAGAGATTTGTGGAACTTTGAACTTGAGAGAGATGATTTAGGATATCTGGTGGAATAAATTTCTAAGTAGCAAAGCATTCAAGAAGTAACTTGGGTATTGTTAAAGGCATTCGGTTTTATAAGGGAAACAGAGCATAAAAGTTTGGAAAATGCACAGCCCGACCATGTGATAGAAAATAAAAACTCATTTTCTGGGAAGAAATTCAAGCCGGTTGCAGAAATTTGCATAAGTAGCAAGGAGCCTAATGTTAATCCCCAAGACCATGGGGAAAATGTCTCCAGGCCATGTCAGAGAACTTCACGGCAGCCCCTCCCATTACAGGCCCATAGGCCCAGGAGGAAAAAGTGGTTTGTGGGCCAGCTCCAGGGTCCCTGAACTGTGTACAGCTTGGGGCTTGGTGCCCTGTGTCCTAGCTAATCCAGCTTTATCTGAAAGGGGCCAACACACAGCTCAGGCTGTGACTTCAGAGGGTGGAATCCCCAAGCCTTGGCAGCTTCCACGTGGTGTTGAGCCTGCACATGCACAGAAGTCAAGAATTGAGGTTTGGGAACATACACCTAGATTTCAGAAGATGTACGGAAATGCCTGGATGCTCAGGCAAAAGTTTACTGCAGGGTCAGGGCCCTCATGGAGAACCTCTGCTAGGGCAGTGCAAAAGGGAAATATGGTGTCAGAGCCCACACACAGAGTCCCTACTAGGGCATTGCCTAGTGGAGCTGTGAGAAGAGGGCCACCATCCTCCAGACCCCAGAATGGTAGATTCACTGAAAGCTTACACCTTGCACCTGGAAAAGCCACAGACACTCAACAGCAGCCTGTGAAAGCAGCTGGGAGGGAGGCTGGAACCTGCGGAGTCACAGGGGTGGAGCTGCCCAAGACCATGGGAATCCACCACTTGCATCAGCATGACCTAGATGTCAGACCTGGAGTCAAAGGAGATCATTTTGGAGCTTTAAGATTTGACTGCCCCGCTGGATTTTGGACTTGCATGGGCCCTGTAATCCCTTTGTTTTTGCCAATTTCTCCCATTTGGAATGGCTGTATTCACCAAATGCCTGTACCCCTATTGTATCTAGGAAGTAACAAGCTTGCTTTTGATTTTACAGGCTCATAGGTTTCATGCATGCAACTCTTACTTAATGAACATATCACAAAGCTCGATAAATGACTGAGTGTCTTTATGACAGTAAAGAGACAACAATTGTCACTACCAATTCAAGCTCACAACTACTACTTCACTAAATAATTACCTTATTTTGATTCTAAAAATACTTGAGTTATATAACTTATCAACCTCAAATTCTGACTCATTTTTTGGTTTCCTTATGTTGATGGCATTTGAAGAAGATACTAGAACTGACTTCAAATGTCCCACAGACATTTTGTTCTCAACATGACGCTCTGAGATTGAAATTACTTCTTCACCTTTGATACCACAGACTTCCTCTTACCTCCTGATGTAAAGCTCATGTATTTCTGGTTGTTGACTGTTTCTTTGGAATCATAGAATTTGAGAACATCTAGAACAGCTTGGGGGTTCTTCTTCTGTTCCAATTTTGTTATGTTGGAGGTTTGGAGTAATCGTGCCCATTGCTCGGGAATTCCCTGTGGACAACCAAAGGGAAAGAATGGTGGCTCAGAACATTCTGCAGCAGCACTTTTATGTTCCAGTAAAGTTCTTCACCAAGAAGCCCATGCTACCTGTAGGATTACACTTGGGAAACTGAAGTTACAGTCTAGATTTAAAGTTAGTAACTTAATAATGCAATCATTCTCTTCTCTAATTAAAACACATAGGTAAAACTAGGATCCAACTTAAAAAGGGTGGGTGGGAGTATGACTGTGATAGAAAAAAAAAAAAAAGCGCATGAAAATCACCTCCATATTGACTCTGCTCATCCATGAAATGATGTTTACGGCTTAGCTTATTTTTTTTTCTGGCGACTCAGGGCAGACATAGCAAGACTTCTCTAAATTTTTGCACAGCATAGTAAAGTGCAGATCAATGGGTTTTATGACTGGAATAACATAAGCTGTTTCTGGTCATGTTGTAATCAGAATATATTTTAGAATAAAAGGAAAGGATCACCCTTGGTCAGGTTATACTTCATGATTACAAAATGTAATTTTTTGGGTCTAGAGCTTTACTATAAAGTTAGGTCAGTAGGAGAAAAAAATAGAATTGTGGAGGAGCAAGAACCACTGAGATGCTAAACAGTAACATTAATGCTGCTTTGGGCATTTTCCCTGCAGCTTTCTCCAGGGCATGCCCTCCTTCTCCTCTCCTCTCTCTCTCCCTTCCTCCTCACTTCATTTTTAGGCCACATAGAACCTGGGGACTATGAAAACCACGCCAAAGCCTTGTGAGAATTTATAATAATCTGAAGCATTTAGAGCAGAGAGGAGGGAGTATTTGGAAATATAACCAAGGAGAATTGCAAAAATTAGAGGTTAGCTTTGCATTGAGCATTCAACATTCTTTCCTACATGTTCAGCCTACAGAAGTCTCAATTTCATAATTATCCAACCTCCAAGAGAAACTTGGAGAGAGAAACAGACACACTATTCCTGAAGTGCATCCAGACACAATTTATGTGGCTTTGTCCTATGAAGTCTCGGCAAAACAATGTGTGACGTGGGCCTCCAGAGTTTGGGAATGACAACAAAAAAAGTGAGATAAGCCAAGCAACAACTCTACTGCACACACATGAACCTGCTGCTGCAGTGCTATGACATCTCAAAGAAGCACTTTGATGCAAGCTTCTTTTGGGCCTGTGACGCACCTCTGGGAGCTTCCCTGGGCACATCTGTGAGCCATAGAGATCTGGCTGTAATGGACGTAAATAAAGAAAGAAAAGAAAGTTAAAACAGAATGTGGGACAACTTAGAAGGTGGGAGGAGATGAAATCAATGGGTCTGAATGGGGGGAGTCCCTTCTAAAGTGGGGCGGTTATGAAAATAGGGAGGTTTTAACTAAATCAGGGACAGGACAGGCTACAGGACAACAGATTTAAGAGAACAGAGAAAATGACAATGTTCCAAAGTTTGGATGTATAATCCCACTTTTGGCAAGATGCTTCCTCCATAAATATGTATTAATAAGAATTACCATTAAATGATTGGAGAAATTATTAAAAGGCAGAAATATGAATTTGGAGGCAAGAAGGATGGCATCATGAAAAGCTTTGACAATAGTTTGTAAGTTGTTTTTATAATTGGGTGACCACAGGTAGCCAATGGCCATGTGATAAACTTACAAATTTCAGTTCCCAATTCTGGTTAACCAATTTTAGTTTCAAAAGTGTGTATGTGGCTAAAATTCAAAGGATGGCTGTATGGAAACACTGAATTTTATTCTCATTGATGTGATTCTTTTTCACTTTGTAGCTAAAGTCATGGCTGGCTTAGAGAAAACTAGGTAAAGAACATTCCCACACAGCCAGACTCTATATTTTAAGTTTCTTAGATATTTAGACTAGGGAAAGGGAAACCGTTCCATTTCAAACCATATATATATAATTTCCATTTTAGTACTGCAGTTCTAAAATCCCGCTTCCCACAAAATAAGACAAGATATAAGGTAACAGCTTTGCCTAAATAAAGATCTCTCAAATGCTACAGAAACATGCTTGACCCAACTGGCTTGATTTTGGATATATGTCCTTGATTCCTGGTATTTGGGGTTACTCCAAGCACAGTGAAATGACACTTTTACATGCATTTTTCACGCGGCTAGATGCTAAAGCCTTAAGCCAAAAATTTGAACTCAGGAGCCCATGCATTATCCCAGTTCTGATTCTAAGTGCAATTAATAGCATTTGGTTAATACCGTAATGGCCAAAGGAGTTATTAAGTGTTACAAATTGAGGTATGCATTGCACATTACCACTACAGCAGACGTTACTGGCGTAATCATTACCATAATCATTAGAATATTTGCAGTTATTATACATTCCCATGGCACTTCTAAGCTTTTGTGATAAATAGTCTTATGATCACTTGACAGCAGGAAAAAATGCTGTCAATAGCAAAAAATCCTCCAGACAACTATACTTACCACATGACTACACTGCTGACATAATTTTGACTGTACTGCTGACATTTCTTTTTTCTAAGTTGAGACAAACCCAATTATCAATAAAACCTGACATTCAAGTTTGAATGTATGCCACAAAGGCACATAGTCATAAAGCCATCTCATTATGCCACATTGAGAAACTAATCCCAAAAGTCAGACAGCTAATGAAGACCTAGGAGTTTGAGCATCAGAAGCATGAGCACATATCAATGCCTGACTGTGTATATGATACCAACTAGAAGTACATCAAGCTGGGGGTTGTCCAGTGTAGCCCAGGAGAATGGCAGCATGATATAACAGGCCAAGCATTTATCTTATCATAAGAAATGATAATTTATATCACTCATACCATATTTCCCTCTGATTGACTTGAAGCGACCGTCACAGGTCTAGAGGTCTGGAAAGGGGAGTTCTGAAGTATTTGGGACAAAAATGGCAATATAAAGGGTAAGGACCTGTAATCATTGAATACCAAAAATCTCACCTCCCAACCTACGTTTAGCTTCAGGGTCCAAGTGTATGACCAGGTATACAAACAAGGTCATATGGGCCAATTAGCCAGAGAGTAATCACCAAGCAACACAGCAAATCAGTGTCCAAATATTCAAAATAACAAGCCCTTGTAAGACAACTGGATTAGATAGTTCAGCAAATTGCACAAAATTCAACCTAAACAACCAGGATAATCAAACTTAACAATATGATCCCCTCCCAACACGCAATAAATTAGTGGTGCATTGACAATTAGGACCCAATTCTAAATCCTACCAATAAAAACACTTTCTTAAAAGCTTTTTATAATTTGGCATGTTTAAATTTAATAAACATAATAATATAGTAAATGTAAATCACAGGTTAAAAAAGTACCAAAAAGGGCAGAATTTGGCATCTTTAAAAATAATGTATGAACAAGTAGTTACAAAAGATCAAGATGACAATAAAGTACTTCCATTTACCAAATTTAGCCTATGTCTGTCTATATAGTCAATGGATTCATAAAAATGGAATATTTCCAAACGGCTATCTTATTTCAAATTGGGGATATTTTTAGTGGGGAGAGGGGTATTTGTTTCATATGGTTTGGCTGTATCCAACTGTTTTTCATCATTGGAAAGATAGCCTATCACTTTGGGTTCTTTGGGTTCTAATTGACAGCAAAATGAAAATGACTGGTGCTGCAGTTAGCAAGATGGTGGTGATTTACTTTCTTTAATTTCCATTCAGAATCCAGAAAGATAAATGAAAGAGCTAGAGAGAGAGATACTGTATAATAAGATGACAAGTAAGTTTGAAAAGTGGAAAGAATAAAATATTGGAAAGCAACTAGAATGTCACATGGGATAACTGGATGAGAAAATTTTCACATCAGGAAACAAAAAGGAAGAAAAAAAGAAAAATAGTGAATGATAACAATAAAACACAAGAGTAGTTTAAATGAGGAAAAGCACAGAGAACATTAAAATGTCAAAGCTGGAAAAATTAATAAAAAAGGGAAGAGTTATTAGGCAAAACCTTTATAAAGTTTAAGGGATTTTCTTGTTTCAAGTGTCAGCAAAAATAGTTAAAATATTTGTATAATTTTTTAAAAATATAAAGTTTTTCAGGTTATACAAATTACTTTTTTTCTGGTGGTGATGATGGTGGTGGTAGTGGTAATAGCAAGGCTGGAGTATCTAAGAGAATATTCTGCAAATATAGTAAAGACTAGGTTCAAACTCAAAGCCATTTGAGTAATGTCTCTGACTTTAATGATGAAATTGGTTAAATCTTACCTATCTCCACTTTATGTGTAAATATTTCTTAACGTTCTCCTCTGCTTGCTACCGAGAACGCAGAAATAATCAGCTCACACCATTTTACGAGGCCAAGGTGTTTACTGTTTCCATTTCCATTCTCATATCACTTACTTCCAGAATTGAAAAAATAAGATAATTTGACTGTCAATTCAGCAACATTGTTTGCTTCTCCACATAGATTAATTTGTTCCTTCTTTTTTTCCACTTAATCATATAACACAGTCTATTCACTACTATGTTATGAAACAAAAAACTCAACTACTTAATATGTAAATTTCTCTCTGGTTTAACAGCACAGGAATTGACAGTGATGGCTCTATCAAACATTTTTCTTGAAATGCCCTCAAAATTACTCCTTATTTCAGAATGTACATTTTGATGGAGTTCATTAATAGCATGGAAAAAGGTAGTTGACCTTCCTGGGGACATATTTCTAGCCATAGCCACATCTTTTCCCTCATTGATCTAAAAAAAAAAAAAAAAGTTACCAGTTCTTTTTTTAAAAAAAGTATAAAATTTCATAGATCTGAGATCTTATGCTGTTTGAGCACTACAAATATTCAGCAAAAGTCTTGGTCTATAGCTATGGTCTATCCAGAGAATTCTCATTGGTATTTACTATGGATTGCATAACATCTCTAGAGAGAGATATCTAGAGAGCGAGGAGAGAGATGCACATAACAACTAGAACATACATGATATATCCATCAAAATTTCTTCTTGAAATATAAGGTTTGTTTTTTGAATATCTGCAAAATGTACCTACTAAAAATTATAAAATAATCTACGTTCTTGAAATCAAAGGGAAAAGCAGGTCAATTCCATAGAGATTCTTGGTTAGTGTAGTTAACTGAGCTGGGTATTCTAGGTTTTAATGTAAAGCCTGAAATATTTTTATGGATTATTTTCACTGGCCAAGGTGAGTAGATGATTCTCTGATTCAGTTCACTTGATAAAGAAAAAGCTCAGGCAGTGTCTCTCTGCCAGGAGTACAATTTCTGTGCCATGGTTAGTTAATATTTTCAACCAAGTTGAGACTATACAGTGATCAAACTTTTTAAAAAGATGGACAAAGTAATTCGGCCAATGCTGTTGCCATCCTCTATTTCCATCTATGATTGCCTAGGCAATGTCCATCTTATTTGGAACCATCAAAAATATTAAGTCTGACATTTTGGGACATGGCAATTCTTGCTTGAAACCTATTTTCACAAGAGAATTCTTTCGTGGCTTACAAAACAAAACAAGGAGCTTACTTACAGTGAATTCCCCGGTGACTGCATCAAACCCCACATGAATCGTATGCTCAAAGTCTGAAGGAAGAGAGATCTCTGGGCGCTCTTTCTCCTTCTTCTTATTGGCTAAAGGCAAAATGTTAACATGTATTTATTTGGGGTATAGTTTTGGCATCCACAAGTTGTACAATTAGGTTCATCAAAAGAATTACAAAGTTGAAAGACAATTGATTCCAATGCAATTTTAACAACACTTAACTCCAGAAAATCCAATTATTTGCAGAAGTAGCTAAGAGTATGATGACAAATGTTATGTCCAAATAATTCAAAATTTCCAAAACTCATTTGAAACAATTCTCTCATTCAAACTGATTTCTGCCTTTTACCAGTGTAACCAGGAGGTATCTAGGGATATTGTGCTTAACTGGCTTTGTTGAATCAAATACCACTTACTAAGGAAGAAATTCATCATACACAAGTCAAGCTAAGGCATACTATTAGAAAGAACGAACAGAAAAGAAAACCACTTCAGCTTTCGATAAAGATATTGTGAATTGTTTCTATGTTAACAATAGCTAATAATCAAGTGGTTGGTACTTATTTAATTTAACATGTTTATATTATTAACCATATCTTAATAGACTCTTCTATTAACAAGAATATCACTGCAAATCAATTATGTTACAAACCTTTTTTATTATCAAAAATATTTCAATCATTTCCTACCCAGCACTTTGCTAGTAAAAAGCTACAAATTGCTGCTTTTTTTTTTTTACTGAATTAATTTTATTTAGTTTTCAGAAAACTTAAAGCCATTCCTTGGTTTAGTTTTTCTAGTTTGTAGTTATTTTTCCATGTTTCCATTATATTTTATCATATCAGCCATTCAAAAATCACTGTGTTTTTCAAGTAGCAGAATTTTCATAGTTACATATTTATAAATAAAGGTATCAGTAGCTCATAATTTAAAAGCCTAAAAAGATATAATCACTGAATAAACTAAGTTGAGAACTATAGTCTATCTGGAAATAGTTCCCAGGAGGAAGTCACTGTGGAAACACTCTAAAATGGCATCTAGCAGCTTCCATAACACACTTATTTGCAGATCTGAGCATGTATCTCTGGTGAGGCTACATTTCACACTGAAAAAAACAGTACTCACCCTCCTAATACAGGGCAAGTCAGCATGAACCAGGTTTACTCAGTTAAAACCAATCAGCTTCAGAATTGCCAGGGTGGTCAATTTAGAACATTCTGGTTCAAATAGATGTTGCCTTGGCCTGAATTACAGACAACACTCAACCATATATTGATTAGTGGTTTTGTGGGTTACCCGTGATAAATTGTAAATTCAAAACTTTTCATGTTCAAAGGCTATTCTTATGACTTCTTGTCTCATTCCACTCTCTCTCACTGTTCCTTATCTCCAGCCACAAGACAGAGATACGGGGCAGAAATATGAAAACTGAACTAGTGTGAGGAAATATACAGGATCAGGAAATAAAGGTTGGGAGCAGGGGAACAAGAGTCACCCAAGGCCTTTGCCTGGCCATGGAGCACATTTAGGACTCATTTTGAAAAAAATACGTAAATGCCATATAACTTACCCTCAGTACAGATTCCATTTTTATAGTGAGCCTACATTATTCATGAATATTATTCTAACCCAATAGTGAAGTTTAGAGCTTTCTGTTGGTACTCCTACTTCCCTTGCATGTTTGTGAACTATAGCTAACATTTATACTTGTTCAACTACCATTTTTTACTTGTTCAGAAAGGCACTCTGGTCTCATCACTCCTTTGAAGGTGTCCTCGCCACTCCTGTAATCATTTTCTTACTTTTTCTCTTTCATGATGTCCCATCCATGCTGGCCAGGCTAGCTACTTCTCTTTTTACTTCCTTGACAATGTGGCCTGGCATTCCTCCTTTCTCAGTGACCATTCTTTCTTTGATTGTCATTGCTTTTGACTTTGCTAGTTCAGTTTTTGGCCTTCTGCATTTCTTTCTCTATTGGATTGCCTCCACTCCCAAATACTAACTCAGGTAATTCCCTAATCTGTGGTTGGCAGGGGTGGATCCACATGTTGGGGGACCAAATACTTTATGTAACTTGAGAGGAAGGTTCCCTTTAAGTAAAAAACATTGTAAAATTACAAATACAAACGTACCGGGGCCCCTCCCAGGGCCTTGGAAGGGTTCCAGGCAAGTCAGGAATTCTGAAGGAGCAGTTTCATTCACTTCACAGTAACTAGCTCTTGGTAAGCTTTTTGGGGTCAATCTTCTGAAAAATCTGAAGAAAGCTATGGAACTTCTGCCCATAAAAATGTACTATATACATATACTTTCACAGATTCATAATTCCCCTGGACTCCAAGCTAAGAGCCCCTACCTTAATCTGTACCTCCAAACCTTCTATCAACTTGAATTCATGGCCCCTCTTGTCAGCAAATAAACTCTCCCAACTTTTCTGTTAGTAGCAAATTGACTAAACACTCCACTTGGGCCGAGTTATATGCAGAATTGGCTTAATGGTGTTTTCCTAGAAGGCCACCTGACTGCCAATCCCTTATCAGCCTGACTATGCAATTTTCTTCACTCAGGGCTAAACATAACAAAGGCAGGAAGCCCAAGTTTGCTCCTCTTCTAGTGTTCCCTATCTCAGTGAAATGATACCACTAACCACACAGATTAAAGAAGAAGCAAGGCCTTAGGCTCCTCCTCCTTTAGGCAGCTCTGAGCAATGAAAAAAAAAATTATAATCCTCCTCTGCAATATGCAATTCAAATAAAAACAATACTAAGGCATAAACAATTAAGGAAGTGAAAAAGTTCTGATGTTCCTATGGTGATTGAGTCTTTTTTTAAGCTATATATTCAAAATTAAACTGTTTCCACATTTTGGGTACTTCTGATTTACTAGATGCCATATACAAATGCTTTCTCTGGCTCCTGAGTAATCCAGCAGTGGCCCAGCTGCCCAAACCAAGAATCTGGGAGTCGTCTTTCACTCCTTCTTTATTTCTATGCTAATTGATCATCAAGTTTTATATATTCTATCTCCTAAACTGGTATTGAATGTTGAATCTTCATCCCCACAAATAATTATCTTAGTCCAAGGCATCAGCACTTCTCACTTAGCGTCACTGCCTCCAATTTTATCCACTTTCATTCATTTCTCTACTCTGTGGCTAGATCACATTCTTGCATTTTGTGTGTGTGTGGTGGTGTTGTTGTTGTTGTTTATTTGTTTGTTTGATGGAGTCTCGCTCTGTTGCCCAGGCTGGAGTGCAGTGGCATGATCTCGGCTCACTGCAAACTCTGCCTCCTGGGTTCAAGTGATTCTCCTGCCTCAGCCTCCTAAGTAACATTCTTGCCTTTAAGATGCTTAAATGCTCTCCCCTATTACCCATAAGTTAAAAGTTCATGTTTCTTAGCATGATATCCAAGGGCCTGCATGATATGTTCCTAGTTTACCACTCCAGCCTCTCTATTCTTGCCATGGGCCCTACTACTTATACACATTCAATGCTCCCTAAGCTGCCAGGCTTTCTCATACCTCCGAGCTTTTATACATGCCATACCTAGGCCTGGAAAGTCTTACTTCTTACCCTTTCCCCCAAATTTATGTGGATCACTCCTATTAGTCCTTACTCTTAAAGACTCACTCTTGGGCTTTTTCTCCTTTGGCAAGTCTTTTCCTATCTCCTCTCTGCAGACAAAGTTAAATGCCTGTCCTTTCATGCTCCCATAGAACTACTCAGTGTATACTTGGAGCTTGGTACCATCAGCATAGGATTATTTTTTACATATCTACCTCTCTATCTAAAATTTGAGATAATTGACAGTAAAGAGTGTAATTTATTTATTCTTACATTCCCCTGCAACTAGTTTGTACCTGCACACTTAATAGCTATCATGAATGGACACTCACCACGTGCCAAGTGTCTGAAGCTATCTCATTTAATCTCCACAACAGTCTTATGAGGTAGGTCTTATTCTTGTTTTATAGATGAGAAAAGTGAGACTTGATGGGGTTAAATCATATACCCAGGGTTACACAGGTGGCAAATATCAGAGCCAGGATTTGAATCTACGTCCCTACTTTGTCTCCAGAACCAAAGTTTTCAACAGTTAAACTATTTATTACCCAGTGGCATTAAAAAAAAAAAAAAGCTCTAGCTTTCAGTAAGTGTTTAGCAATAAACTAGACCCTAGATGAGAATCAGTTTTTGTTTTTGTTTTTGTTTTTGTTTTAGATACACTAAAATGTCTGTATCACTCTGCAAAATTCTGTGAGCATTTGTCATTTATCTTAAGGCTCAACCTGGTCAGCTCTCTGGGTTGACATTTGCAGAGAGCAGAAGTCCAAAAAAGTATCACTTTCTAACTGTATCTCCCATATTCTATTTTAACTCAGAACAAGGCTACAAATTGCTGCCTGACCACAAACTGCAAACAGCACTTGGCCTTGAGATCTAGTGGGAGTTCCAGTTGTAATTCCTAGGGCCACCTAATTTCTCCAGAATCTCTCATCCCGACATCTTTCTCTATTCTGCTACTTCATAAAGAATGAGAAGCCCCTCTAGTCACCTATCATCTTTTATATGCCCACCCCAGTGTTCTGCAGTTCTTTTACCAGCAAGAGTTTGTCCTGTCAGAAACATTTTTTTTCCTACATTTTCTACCTCTTCCTTCACCTCTTGCCTTAGGTTTTCATACTTCACTGTACATCATTTTCATCTGAGAACTTAAAAAAAGAGCGAGAGATGCCATCTCCAGAGATTCAGATTCAGTTAGTCTGGGGTAGCCCTAGGCATCTTTGTTTTTTAAAATTCCTCAGGTATTTCTATTACATAGCTGGGATTGAGAACTACGACTTTAGACCCTACTATCCAATGAGGGTACTGCTTCCTTAGATAAGACTGGTGGAGGCTGCTCACCCTTTCTCATCCCAAGCCTGTAGGCCTGAGAGAACGGAGAAGGCAGACTTCCTCTTTTTCACTCAAAACCATTCAAGATCAGTACTTCTACACTTGCCTACAAAATCCTCTCTTTTGAGATTATCACCACCTAGTTCTCCTGGCCAAGTGCATTGTTTGCCATTGAGGACTCTGGCTCCCAGTCTT